CCCCAGCCCCTCTCCCATAATTACTGTTTCAGACGGGGCTGGGGGAGGGGCTTCGACGGGGAGGCGGCTCCGAAGCTGCGCACTCCGGGGTGGGGGTGGGGGAGGCCCCCAGGCCTTTGGAGTGGGGTCACGGGCTGCGGAAGGCACCTGGCCTGGCCACACAAGCAGGGCCCAGAATCCCAGTGTCAGACCAGAACCCGGCTTGCCCCTCCCCACACACATTTTACAGATGGGTAAACTGAGGCACACAGACTACGCAGCAAGCTGGGGGACTCTGAGGTCTGTGGTGAGATTTATTGGGTGATTTGGTGAAACAAAGAAACCATCAGTTTCCTTCTCTCGCCCACCCTGCCCCGGGTCGCACTTCATGGGGCAGAGGGTCCTCCAGCCAGGGAGCTCTGTCCCTTTCTGTCTGTCCCTTTCTCTCTCCTTTTGACTTTACTTTCCTTTTCTGGTTTCTTTTTCTCTACCCATTCCTTTCTCTCCCTCCCCGTCTCTGCCTCTGTCCCGCTGTCTGTCTGTACGCGTGTCTTTGTCCCTCCTGTCCCCTGTGCCGGGAGGGACACCCGGCATCTTTGGGACGAGTGTCGAGGCCTAGGCGGGCAAGCGCGCTAGGGGCGGACTTGGGCGGAAAGTTCTGGGCGTCGCGTGGGGAGGCGGCGACAGGGGTGGCCGGCGGGTTTCGCTGCGCCCGGGATGCGACCGACCGAGCCGAGGAGGAGGGACTGCCAGTCCCCCCCGTCGGGTGTGAGTTGTGCACGGGGGCGGTTTCTCGTTCTGAGTGCGAGCGGGTCGGGCACCTGCACGCACATCGGGATGTCGCTGTGCGGGGCGGCTCGCTGGACAGTGGGGACGCGCCTCGCCACCTCCCCCTGGCCACCGCGATTTGCTGCCACTTAACAGCTTTTCATTTGCACAGCGACCGGAACTAAAGGCCTTGGCCTTGGGGCCCTGGCCCTGCCACCTCTAACATCCCAGGCAGAGTCCGCAGGTGTAGACGAGGCCCGGAGCGCGCAGGAGGCGCGGCAGGTGCCCAGGACCCGGGCGCGAACCGGCCGGCGGGGTCCCAGCCTGGGCAGCGCCCGGCAGAGCGGGGTGCACCCGGGTGGTCCCGGCCCATGATCCTCAACACCCCAGCGCCCCGCCCGAGGCCAAGTGTGTCCCAGGCCCCGTGCTCAGCCCTCCGATCTCCCGCGCTCCCCTGAGACCGCGACTATTCTAACTCCCGTTTCCTAAATGGAAAAACCCAGGCTCAGACAGGTGAGACTGTTCCTCACTGTCGCAGAAGTCAGGGAGGCGAAGCCGGCACGTGAGTGGGGCCTCAGTTTCTCCACTGGGAACTGTCCTGGCTCCAGGAAGGGGAACACTAAAGCCTGCGCGGCCGTGGGGTGGGCAGAAGCGAGCGCACACCGAGGGCACCCGGTGCCCCAGGGTCTCCACTCCCGGCTGGCGCTGCTCACCCCGCAATCGGCACCCCCCACTGGACTTCTCGCCTTAGGTTGTCGTTCGGTGTCGCTCTAGCAATGTGCGATTCAAATACCACTAATGGGTCATATTATTTACATAATATGACAGTGAGAAAAATGGAGAGTGGTGTGGAGTACACCCACGGTGGACACAATGTCCCCCAAATATGTGCACTGGAGAGAAAGCAGCAGGTAGTGGTTATGGCGACACGGAAAAAGGCTGGGGTTGCCCATCTGGTGACTGCCACTTAGTACCTAAGGGCTTAGAGCTATGCTTTCAGCTCGAGCACATGGGGGTGCTCTCTGCCACCTGAGGCCACCTACTCTGCACATTGCTGGCCGAGGCTGAGTGTTGGTGACTGAGTGTCCACGTTGAGCACACGAATATCATAGTGTGTGTCACAGGGAGCAGAATGGAGCGGCTCCTTTCCTTCCATGAAACTGTCCAGGTTCAGGTAGCCATTTCTAACATGTCACACGACCTCGCTGGGCACCCAGTTACCCGCTGCATGCGAAAGACAATCTCCCATGCCCCAAAGTGCAGAATCTAAGAATCCCACAGGAGCCTCCAGCTGTCACCTTGCTCGGAGGAAGGGGGAAAACGAGGCCCATCTGCAGGTGCAGGCTCCTGGACATTGTCCAGTCTGCCTGGGGTGGAGGCAGGGAGTGGTTCGTGGGGGGGGGTGGACAATACAGGACCCTCTCCATCCCCTAACTGATGACCCCTCTTCCCCAGCCCCCCTGCCTCGCTGAGCCCGCTGGGGACAAGCCAAATCCCTCCCTGCTAGTGGGGCGCCTTGCTCGAGCCCCCGCTAGCCCCCTCCCTCCTCGTCCTTGTGCTCTGAGAAGCAATCGATCGGCGCCAGCGGCGGCTATTGTCCCTGTGGCTGGGGTGCACAGCCCCCTCCCCAGAACAGCCAGAGAAAGACCCCCCCACCTAAGTCCAGGGGCTCTCCTGCACCACCCCCCGCAGCCCCCCAGGAAATGGGGGCCTGGTGGGGCTGCTTCGCTGGGGGCAGGTGTGAACCCAGCTGCTGTCAGCTGGGATGGAGGAGGGAGCGGGGTCCCCAGGGGGCTGGTGGCTGAGTGTGGTGAGAGAGACAGAGACACAGAGGCCAAGAGACGAATAGAGAGAAGAAAGAATAGGGAGGAACGGGGGGGGGGGGGGGGG